CGCCATGATGATGTCTTTGGAAGCTAAGAACAAGCTTGGCTTCGTCGACGGCACAATCAAAGCGCCGTCAGAGAAGGATCCCAAATATGGAGCTTGGAGAAGATGCAATCAAATCGTAAAGTCGTGGATCCTCAATTCAATCAGCCCAACCTTGACCAATACCGTGATCTTCTCTAACACAGCCGCTGAAGTCTGGGCAGATCTTAATGAACGATTCTCACAAGGGAATCTTTCTCGTATTTTTGAACTCAAACGAGGGATCGTTGAGCACCGTCAACAACAACAGTCCATAGCAGCCTACTATACAACGCTCAAGTCCTTTTGGGACGAGCTGGGATCGTACAATGATCCACCTTCATGTAACTGTGCAGGTTTGAAGAAGATTGCTGAAAAGGAAGAGCAGGAGCAGATCCTCCAATTCCTCATGGGGTTGAATGACACATACTCTGCCATTCGTGGACAAATCCTTTTGATGCAGCCACTTCCCAATATCAGAAAAATTTACTCACTCTTACTCCAAGAAGAAAAACAGCGACAGCTTGCTGATGCTCGTGATGGAACTATTCTTGCCATGAATGTGAAGAAAAGCACAAGGAACACAGAGAATAGGCAGCCTGCAAAACCACAAGACATCAAAGGGAAATCCTTGTATTGCACACACTGTGAGGGTGATACACACACGGTTGATCGCTGCTACTACATCATCGGCTTTCCACCAGGGCACAAGTTCCATGGCAAAGCAGTTAAGCCACCAAACAGGAACAAGCGTTTCACAGCCAATAATGCTCACGGCACGACCAAACCCACCACTGCAGAGAATGCACATCAGAACTTTCCTCAATTCACAGAAGAGGAGTACAATCAGATAAGGGCCTTACTCGGTAAAACCCAGTTTTGTGGAAATGTGACAGGTAAACCCAATCCCAAATGTTATACAACCTGGATCATTGATAGTGGTGCAAGTGATCATATATCCTCCTCCTCTCATCTTTTGCATCAAACACCTTATCATGACACTGTTGGTTTACCTAATGGCTCACACATAGATATCCTCTCTGTTGGTTCAATACAAGTTAATCCAAATTTATTCATCAAAAATGTCCTTCATGTACCTTCCTTTCGGGTCAATTTACTCTCAGTCAGTAAAATTACTCGTGATTTGAGTTGTGTAGTCATTTTTCATCCTAACTTTTGTATCTTACAGGACCTGAAAACGATGAAGGTGATTGGCCTGGGGAAGGAGCATAATGGTCTCTACTACCTGTCCAAACACACAGCCATCAAGC